TTTTAGTAGATATTATTATAAAACAGATCAATAGATAGTTTGTAATTAAAATTAAATTTAGAGTATAGGAGTTTGTTTTGAAAGATAATTGCCCACAACAGTTATTTATTAATATTCATCGTATTGCTTATTGAAAATAAATAATAATTTGTGTACATATTTATGTTGTTTTAATGTTAGTTCCGTTTCCTGTTCTATCCCGATTATGAGCAACTAGGAGATACTGAACCCACTAGAAGAGATATATAAACTAAACTGATTAAAGTTATAATTAGACTTCGGCAAAAATGCAAATAAAAAGGTAGAAAATATGCGCATAAATATGCACGTGTTTACCCGAAAATATGCAAATATTTTACAAAATATGCATACAAATAAATAAAAAAATCGTAAAATAGTAACAATTTTATAAAAAAAAAGTGTACATAACTAAATATTTCCTACTATTCATTAAGATTTACATTTATTTTAAGTAACTACATCATTTTTAAGTATGAATAAACTTATTTAGAATTATGGTAACAATAAATGACCAAGTGGTGTTAAAAATTTTCTAACAAAAACTTGTGGCTTCTGTCTGAGTACATATATTTATATATGGAAAAACTTCGTTCAACATCAACTGATGTAACGGGAGCATTTTTCAAACTAACCAAAACATTTGGTTCTAAATTAATTGTTTCCGAAATATTTCCAGCTAGAACACTGACTACTTCAGAATATGGTAACCTTTATTTTTTTCCATAGTAGCTTCAAATTTTTTTAAAATATCTTTTTCCATATTACCACCAACGTTCCGACAACATGACGCAAATTCTTTTATTAATGCTGTACTTTCGAACAATGACAGTTTTGGTGATTCTAACTGAGTAATTGTTTTTTGAACAAAACTAAAATTTGATTTTATAAATGAAAGTTCTTGTTGAAGCAAGTTACACTGAAAAGTTTGTTTAGAATCCAAAAGAGATTGGGAACTTTTATCTGTTAACGTATCAATTATGTTCTTTATTTTAACAAAATGATCTGCATAAAAATTAGCTGCTTCTAACCATGTTCCCCATCGCGTTAAAATAGGTTGTGGTGGAAGAGGAATGTTAGGTAGCATTTCTTTATAAAGTTGAATTCTTATAGGAGATTTAAGAAATACTTTTTTGACACTGGATATCATGGTATTTACAAGAGAAAACTTTTTTCGTATTTCCTCTGCAACTCTGTTTAATCCATGCGCTACACAAGTAACATGTATTAAATCTGGGAAAAATATTTTTAAATTTTGTCCTGCTTTCACCATATAAGGAGCAGCATCCGATAAAATAAGCAGTAATTTATTAGAAGGAATAGTTGTCGGAAGAAAAAAAGTTGCTAATGTTTCTTGTATAAAACGCGAAATTGTTAAAGCATTTGTTTTCTCAAGTTGCTGGCATGAAATAAGATGAGATTTTGATAAGGTATCTTCTTTAAGAACACCAATCAATAAATGAGCATTATACTTTCCTGAGGAATCAGTGGTTTCGGCTACAGATATGTAAAAATAATTATCTGCAATTTCTTCCTTAATATTAATTAACACCGACGAGTATAGCCCATTCACATTATTTCTTCTTAGAAACCGATCACTTGGAACATTAAGTTTGCAATATTTTTTAAGAAACGAACTAAAATTTACATTTGCTAATTTTGAAAGTGGTATGTTTGCAGACACTAATGCGCGACACAAGTCTTCATTAAAAGTTTCTTGCTCATCTAATTTTTTTGAAGTAGATTGGAAACATTTAGCCATTGAAGTTTGATGTTTTCCTCCTATTTTTCGCTTTTTTGCAATGTGTGAAGCAGTTCTCACATGTTGGTCTATCTGAAATTTCTTCTCACATGCTATCTATAAATAAAAATAAAAACCTTTATTTTAACCCAACCTTTAAAATATAAAAATATACAAGGTGTTTTTGGTTAATCAAATAACTGGTTTGGAAAAAAAACACTCGCTAAGTGTTTTAAATGCAGTATTAATCCACAAATTAGTTTTTGTTACTAACCATTAGTACATCATATAACTTTATATTGTTCTGAAGCTATTTTCTTGTGGCATTGTAAATTAATTACTATTTATAACTGGGAATAAGCCACAATTAAAGATAAAAATACGTTTATTGACGTTTCAATTTCCAATTCAGAAATCGTTCTCAAAATACAAACAGTAAATTAAACAAATTTTGTTTTTTGTTACATAGTGAAAAAATTCTTCTAATAATTTAATTTTATCTGACTCATTTATATTGACAATTCAGACATACATTATGCATTTGAAAGAAGACGACTTTAAAATGATATTGCCAATATTGTTGAGTTGCGCTCCTGGGACGACTTTACTTATAAGATAGTTCATTCGATTACATGAAATCAACTTTAACTTGAGAATATCCGTCAGAAAAAATCATAGCATGTAATTCGTCTTTAAAAAGACAAACACATGACATGATGACAGTAAAATTCTACTGTTAGTGATTCCATAGTAAATTATGAGGGAAAAACCAGGAAAAAAACCTCATAATACTATCCCGACATTGTAAGTATTTGTTCGTGAATTTAGTTTACCTTCAACAAACATCAAAATTCTGATGTTATATGTTACGTTATTTAAAAAACGTAAATGATGTATCCTCTATATGTTACTGACTTACTAATACTGGTATTTTCTTATTAATAACTTCCTCTTTCAATATTGGTAAATAAATAAATAAAGGATCTGGTTACCAATATGGAAAGAGGAAGTTATTAATAAGAAAATACCAGTATTAGTAAGTCAGTAACATATAGAGGATACATCATTTATGTTTTTTAAATAACGTAACATATAAAATCAGAATTTTGATGTTTGTTGAAGGTAAACTAAATTCACGAACAAATACTTACAATGTCGGGATAGTATTATGAGGTTTTTTTCCTGGTTTTTCCCTCATAATTTACTATGGAATCACTAACAGGAGAATTTTACTGTCATCATGTCATGTGTTTGTCTTTTTCAAGACGAATTACATGCTATGATTTTTTCTGATGGATATTCTCAAGTTAAAGTTGATTTCATGTAATCGAATGAACTATCTTATAAGTAAAGTCGTCACAGGAGCGCAACTCAACAATATTGGCAATATCATTTTAAAGTCGTCTACTTTAAAATGCATAATGTATGTCTGAATTGTCAATATAAATGAGTCAGATAAAATTAAATTATTAGAAGAATTTTTTCACTATGTAACAAAAAACAAAATTTGTTTAATTTACTGTTTGTATTTTGAGAACGATTTCCGAATTGAAAATTGAAACGTCAATAAACGTAATTTTATCTTTAATTGTGGCTTATTCCCAGTTATAAATAGTAATTATCATATAACTTATTTTAAAATTCAACAAAAGTTTTTTTTTTGTTAATTCAATTACAATAAAAATAATTGTGTTTTAGAATAGCTGACTTCATAAAAAAAAGTAAAGGTGAAAAGTTTTTCTAAATACACAACATTGTATTGTACCATGGACAATTTTTTCTCACTAAAGGAAGCTATTTTTCATTCAAAAACAACCTACGAGTACTAAATTTCAAGTAAATACGTTTATTGGTTTTAAAGTTATTGTTGTTATTAACTAAAAGAATTTAATTTTAACACCCCGTATCTCGAAAAGTAAATAAGTTTGACCCCTCATTAACTATATCGTTTTGTTAAATTTTTCGAGAAGTATCTACAGTCAAACATTGTAAGTGTCATTTGGAAACACCCTGTATGTATGAAATATTAGATATTTAATAGAAAATATTAGATACTTACAATTTTGCCACAGACTGAACAGTAGATTTTTCCCATATCCATAGACAGCTCTTTATAAGGTTTAATCCAAGTTGAAGCACTGGTTGTTTTAGGCATTATAAAATCACAATCTTCCTTTTTGTTACGCACAACGAGTATTTACGCTTTAAATATCAAAACAAAAATGATTTAAAAATCTGAGCATCAAATTAGAAATGTTTAGGTACTTAATTGAATAAACTGGGAGATTTTGGAAAATCCCTAAATTAGGAACAAAACTATTAGCCGTTTACCTGCTGTTAAGATACAATAAATTGTAGGTAGATTTGGGGATTAGATCATAAAATGCAAATGAGCGAACCCTTAGCGATTATCCAATAACTGAATGCCTCAGTGACCGAGACTTTCTAAGAATGTTGAGGGCTACTTGAATTGATCTTCTTTGAAATTGTAAATGTTTTGTACCTGTAGAGTTTACGTACTTAGATCATTTCTTGATTAAAATGACTACAAAATTTTATACAAGAATTGAAATAAATTGGTATGTTTAAAAATTTTCAAATACAGTATAAAAATCTGAACTTTTATGCACTTTATGCAAACTTTTATACAAATATGTCAAAATATGAAATATTTGCATAAAATATGCACAATATGCAAAATATGCAATATGCATATTTGCCGAAGTCTAGTTATAATTAACAAAAAAAAGCACTCTGAGAATTTTTAATAGTAATTGAATTGTATTACTCTGCATAAATTAGTGAATTAATTAATTAAATAATTTGATCAATTAAATTAGTGTTAATTAATAATAAAACATCATAAATCAGATCACAACAATATATATATATATATATATATATATATATATATATATATATATATATATATATATATATGAATTGTTAATATACATGAGTCAGATAAAATTAAATTATTAGAAGAATTTTTCACCAAGTAACAAAAAAACAAAATTTGTTCAATTTGTCAATGTTTTGTATTTTGAGAACGATTCTCGAAGTGGAAATCGAAACGTCAAAAATATACTTATTTTTAACATAAATTGCGGTTTATTTTCATTAAAAGTAGTGCAAGATACTAATTTTATGTAATGCTATTTTATGTAATTAAAAGTGAAAATTTAGTAATAAATATATTCCAGAGCATAATCTACTATAACAACGTGTGCCTAAATCTTACCTCTAGTGTTACCCATCCACACGTCATAACCTTGATCTGCCAATATATAAGCTAACCCATGTTTTTCTCCAAATAGCACCCAATCAGATGAAGCACACATAATACCATGTTGCAAATATACAACAGCATTTTTGCGCTTTTCGGTTTTACCATGAGGTATTCTGTGTATGTTAAGAATATATCCATCCAAAGTAGTTACAAAGTGACTTTCTACGGGATAACCAGCTTCTTTTATTAAACCAGGCACTGGGATCCTAGGAGGTATCTTTGATGAGTCAAAGACTTCTTTCACAATGTCTTTAGCAGCAGTTGAACCAGTATCGAAAGTAGTTTTAATTACAAACTGTACAGTATCTTTAGTACGTTTAAGAAAGTCAATTTTCTTTTGTACGTCGATTGTTATATTACTTATCCTTTCGAAAATATTGGCATTGGCTCCAATCACAAAAATAAGAAAAAAAATCTTTAAAATGTTCATATTAAATTATTGTTTTCACAATATTTCATATAACTGCAATAGCTTGGATTTTTTAAATGTATTAACGAATAAACATCTTTATCTTTAACATTCACCTAATTAAAAATGTTTATAAATGTTTCTATTTATCGATATCAGTTGAATTTTTAATTAGTTGCTACTAAATCAGAGCAACATAATTTTAATGTCAAATTTGATAACACCTAATTAAAAATTAAAAGAGAAAATGTTCTTCTAGAAATGTTCCCTCGGTGACGTGTTACCAGGGAATGTGACATGACCTGCTATGATGTGGTTAATTGTCACAGTTCCTCATCCCCCTCCCCCGACGTATTAAAAACTCAAAATAAAAAAAATCCCAAAATACCATTGAAACTATACCAAGGACCAAAATGTGCACAATTTATACAGTCTTCAAAGTAAAAAATATTTTGCTGCAAAAAATTGACCTACCTACGAAAAATTCTTATGCTAATATATTATGTTTGGTGTGTAAAGTTAGTTCTCGTCGTGCATAGCGATCGCTGAATAATGCTGGCCTATTTCGATACACATCCAATAACTGGTAAAAAGGCTTCGAGTATTTCGGGGATGGATTATTTATTTTTAATGGATTATTTTATTATTTATTTATATTTTCCATATATTTTTTTCTGTATATCTCGGAAGATTCCTTTATTAAAAAGCAGAATTAATAAGAGATGGACCGGGAGTGGCACCATTGAAAAAAGACACCACATTATATTCTATAGTTGCGACGCTAAATACCACGCACTAGGTACTGGCTTCATTGTAAATAAAAAGGTTAAACGCCTCGTAAGAGACTTTCGTGGTATGAACTCTAGAATGTACATCCTGAGACTAAGGGGAACATTTTTTAATTATAGCATCTTAAATGTGCATGCCCCTACAGAGGAAAAGGAAGACGATGTCAAGAAAAAATTCTATGAAAAACTAGAAGCTGCATACAATTCATGCCCAAAGAATGACATCAAAATTATTTATGGTGATCTCTACGCAAAAATAGGAAAAGAGCAACAATACCTACCAACTATAGGTAAGCACAGCCTTCATGAGGTATCCAATGACAATGGCATCAGACTAATAAATCTAGCAACTTCCCTTAACATGGTCATTGCCAGCACATGCTTCTAGCGAAAAAATATTCATTCAAGGGAACGTGGAGATCTTCAGATGGGCTCACAGTAAACATGATCGATCATGTTATTATTGACTCTAGACATCACTCAGATGTAATAAACGTATGCAGCAGAAGAGGGGCAAATGCAGACTCGGATCACTACCTAGTGGAAAGTAGAATAAGAGCCAGCATCTCAAACATTAAAAAAGAAAAGGGACCCAAAATTGAAAAATATGAAATAAAAACTTAGCAGACAACAGCAAAAATGAAAATACAAAGAAAATATAAAAGGAAAGATAGAAAATAGACACAAGCACGACGATATATACAGAGAATGGAATGCGTGTAAAAACATCATACAAGACGCGGCCAAAGAGACTCTAGTCTACAAAAAAAGGCCCAAATGAACTGAAGGACAGTGATTCGATAAAGAGTGTCGTAATATAACAGAGAGGACAAATAATGCTTATTAACGACTACAACAACGACATAGAACACGAAAGGCAGAGGAGGAATATATACTGCTAAGGAGGGAAGAGAAGAAAATACATCACAGAATGAAAAGAAAACACATAGAAAAAGAACTCCAAGAAATGGAAGAACTAAATAAATCATCAGAAAACAGAAAATTCTACCAAAAACTTAAACAAAAGTAGAAAGAGATATATTAACTCAACAGAGTGAAATACTACAAAGATGAACAGAATTCTTTAAAGAAAAGTTTGAAAAAAACGAAGATCCACTATATGATTAGGAATTATACTAGATCAAACAGATACCAGAGAAACAACCCCCCTCTTAGTAGCTGAAATGCAAGAAGCAGTTACCAGACTGAAAAACAACAAGTCACCTGGATTAGACAACATTAGCGCAGAATTAATAAAGGAAGATGGAGACTCCCTATTGAGTGCGATACACGAACTAATAGTAAACATATGGAATAATAAACAACTGCCACAAGACTGGAATACCGAAGTAATTATCTCACTACATAAAAAGGGAGATCAGCTTCAATACAAAAACTACCGGGCAATAACGCTACTGATTGTGGCATATAAAATACTGTCAAATATTGTGTATGACCGATTGAAACCATATGCGGAACAGATAGTTGGGGGATATTAATGTGGTTTCCGCAGGCAAAAGTCGACAATAGATCAGATCTTCGTCTTGAGGCAAATCTTGGAAAAGACTAGTGAATTTAATATAGACACACATCATCTTTTCATTGACTTTGAGAGTGCCTATGATAGCATCCATCAAGAGTTTCTGATCCATGCACTGAAAGAGTATACCAACTCAACTCATTGATATAGTAAAAGAAACACTTAAAGTACAAAGCAAAATTCGAATTTACAACGAACTAACAGATACAATCCATATGAGAACGGGCCTACGACAAATATATGCCCTATCCTCTATTCTATTCAACATCAGATTAGAGAAAATAATTAGGGAGTCAAAAGTCAACACCAATGGAACAATAATAACAAAAAGTGTACAAATATTGGCATTTGCAGATTATGTTGATATCATAGCTAGAAGCGAAGAGAGATGATAGAAGCATTTAATGCGATAGAAAGAACGGCACAAAACAGTGGCCTAAACATTAACGAAATAAAAACCAAATACATAAAGGCCAGTAAATTGACAGGCCAAAGAAACCTACAGAATCTGACAATACGAGACTATAACATCAAAAGCGTGAAAAGTTTTACATATCTAGGTTCACTAGTTACCGCAGATAACAATATCAGTGAAGAAGTTAAGAGAAAAATACATATAGCTAATAAAACAGATAATGGACTAATTAAACATCTACGATCTAACAACATCGCAAGAAAAACCAAATGCAAAATATACAAGACCCTGATAAAACCGGTCCTTGTATATGGATCAGAGACGTGGACCCTGTCGAAAAGCAATGAGAACCTATTAGGTACATTTAAACGAAAAATCCTTAGACACATATATAAGGGAATAAAGGAAAATTACATATGGCGCAGAAGATATAACTTTGAACTATACACAGCATACAATGAACCCGAGATCGTAACATCCATAAAGATCGGACGTCTGCGCTGGATGGGCCATGTTGAACGGATGTTGGAGACTAAAACGCCAAAACACATAATGAGACAAACACCAGTGGGGGGAAGGTCAAAGGGAAGACTCAAACTTAGATACATGGAACAAGTGGAACAAGATCTGAAAACACTTAAGACTATCAACTGAAAAAAAACAAAGCAAAGAACAAAACAGAATGGCGGAAAATCCTAGAACAAGCTAGGACCTAGAAAGGGTTTCCAGCTACTGATGATGATGATGATTATTTATTTTAAACGGATTATTTTATTATTTATTTATAATTTCCATATATTTTTTTCTGTATATCTCGGAAGATTCCTTTCCTAAAAAGCAGAATTAAATAGAAAATACATTAGTCCTTAAGTTTGTTAATTATTAACAACCTTGACGAAGTAGTACTGATATTCTTTCTGCTAGTACAAGAAGACAATTATAAATTCCCATATAAGCTACCTAAATAATGAGAACTAAAAGGAACCATAGCAAAGGGTCTAGTTTTTAAAAATCGAGTTGGCTTGGGTCAAATTTTACATTTTATTATAAGGACTAGTTTATTGCATAAAATAAATAAATAGTTGTCCCATTAACGGAATTACAAAACATCGAAGCATTAATTAAAGTTGGATATGGGGATAAAACCAGAGCACAATAAGAAGTATGTAATTTATATAATATAAAATATCCTAATACGCCTATCACAATACTGGTCATATAAATAGTAATATAAAATACCATGGTAAAATAATTAAAAGTGATAGGGATTTCTCAAACATTTCTGAAAGGTCCGTTTTATGTGTACTAAAAAAGAAAATTATCATCCCTATAAAATTTATAATGTCCAGGATATCAATGGGGATGATCCAGATCGCCGAATGCAATGCGAAATATTGCAAACAAGCTTATGTTTACATGAAGTGGTACAAGGGGCAAAACTGCAGAAAAAGAATCCTCCCTGAACGATCTCCAAATCTTACACCACTTGATTTATTCCTCTGAGGTTACTTGAAATTTAAAGTTTACATCGATCGACCACAAATTTACAAAATTTAAAAAATAATATTAGAATGGAAATTCGTACTATAACTCCAGAAATGATGCATTACGTTCAAGATTGCCGTCCTCTAATTTGAACATTTAAGCCACAAATGAATGTTAATTAGCCAAATAAACATTTTTTGTTTCCAACCAGCAATAAAATGTGTTTTGTATTAAACAAATTACATACGTAATTCAAAAATTCAATATTTTTTGGCCACCCTGTATACATAATTAATTTATTGTTTATATTACTAAATAGAGAATTGAAGAAACTTTTAAATGAGTTCCACTACGATATTACGTCATTATGCCCAGATGGATAACGGCACTAGTGTGATATATATGCCAAAAATTCATAATTTAAAAATATACAATTTAGGGATTTGCCTTCAAAATCATCCATAATTTTTTGGAAAAATAAATGTATTCCTTAATTTTTTCCTCACTATACGAAAACCTTTTAAAAAGATAATACATATACATAAAAAGACAATCTTAGAACGCCTATGATGTTAAAATAACTGATTGTTTAAACGATAAACTAACATCATTGTTTAAATAGGACTAGTTAGCCAACGCAATGTATAAATTTGTTTGATTCCAATTGAGACCGTCACTAGATGTCATCACTCTTTCTGTCTCAATAGCTTTTAATATACAATTGTTTGTTTGATATACGTTATACTAGATGGTGCTATGTGAAAAAATTAAAGAATAAACTAAACGTCCATTT